GCCTCCGGTTTTCTTCCAGCCGCGTGCTTGGGATCGCGGCGCTTCCTGCGGGAGCGCGGAGCCGCCGGGAGCGCTGCCAGCCCCGGGGACCGGAGCGGCACCGAGCCCTGCGGCCCCTGCCCCGCCGGGAGCGGCGACACGGGGACCGCAGTGTCACCTGTGCCACTGACACGGGGGCCGCAGTGTCACCTGTGCCACTGACAGGGGGACTGCAGTGTCACCTCTGTGCCACCTTCAGAGCAGCGACATGGGGGCCACAGTGTCACCTGTGCCACCCTCGGAGCGGTGACATGGGGGCCGCAGTGTCATCTCTGTACCACCCTCACAGTGGTGACACGGGGACTGCAGTGTCACCTGTGCCACTGACAGGGGGACTGCAGTGTCACCTCTGTGCCACCTTCAGAGCGGCGACATGGGGGCCACAGTGTCACCTGTGCCACCCTCGGAGCGGTGACATGGGGACGGCAGTGTCACCTCTGTGCCACCCTCACAGTGGTGACACGGGGACTGCAGTGTCACCTCTGTGCCACCCTCGGAGTGGGACCGCAGTGTCACCTCTGTGCCACCCTTGGGGCAGGGACATGGGGACTGCAGTGTCACCTATGCCACCCTCACCGTAGTGACATGGGGGTTGCAGTGTCACCGTCTGTGCCACTGACATGGGGACCACAGTGTCATCTCTGTGCCTCCCTCACAGTGGTGACACAGGGGCCGCAGTGTCACCTCTGTGCCATCCTTGGGGCAGCGACACAAGGGCTGCAGTGTCACCTCTGTGCCACCAACATGGGGGTTGCAGTGACACCTCTGTGCCACTGACAGGGGGACCGCAGTGTCATCTCTGTGCCACCCTCGCAGTGGTGACACAGGGGCCGCAGTGTCACCTCTGTGCCATCCTTGGGGCAGCGACACAAGGGCTGCAGTGTCACCTCTGTGCCACCAACATGGGGACTGCAGTGACACCTTTGTGCCATTGACAGGGGGACCGCAGTGTCATCTCTGTGCCACCCTCGCAGTGGTGACACAGGGGCCGCAGTGTCACCTCTGTGCCACCAACACGGGGCATGCAGTGTCACCTCTGTGCCACCAACATGGGGACTGCAGTGACACCTTTGTGCCATTGACAGGGGGACCGCAGTGTCATCTCTGTGCCACCCTCGCAGTGGTGACACAGGGGCCGCAGTGTCACCTCTGTGCCACCCTCACAGTGGTGACACAGGGGCAGCAGTGTCACCTCTGTGCCATACTTGGGGCAGGGACATGGGGACCACAGTGCCACTGTCTGTGCAACCCTCAGACCAACCGCAGTGCCACCTCTGTGCCACCCTTACAGTGGTGACACAGGGGATGCAGTGCCACCCTGTGGGCAGTGACTCGGGGGCTGCAGTGTCACCTCTATGCCACCCTCAGACCAGTGACACAGGGGCTGCAGTGTCACCCTTAGAGTGGTGACACGGGGGCTGCAGTGCCGCCATCTGTGCCATCCTTGGGGCAGTGACACAGGGGCTGCAGTGCCACCCTTGGGGCAGTGACACGGAGGCTGCAATGTCACCTCTGTGCCACCCTCGGAGTGGTGACCCAGGGGCTGCAGTGTCACCCTCAGGGCAGCGACACAGGGGCTGCAGTGTCACCTCTGTGCCACCCTCAGCATCAGCCGCCTGGCGTGGGGGGGACAGTGAGAGGAAAGGCAGGGACGTGGCATCACCTGTGCCCCAGTGTGACACTGTGCCCCCGTAACCCCGCAGTGTTGGTGGCTTCGGGAGCCACCCAGACAGCCAAGCCTCCTTTTGTTTGGTAGCCCAGGTGGGTTTTGCTCCATGATTGACTCCTGATGCTTTGTGGGGCCACTGCAGCTGCACAGGGACCTCCTCAGCCCGGCCACCCCAGGCAGGCAGAGCTCCTGCCTTCGGCCTCACCTGGCTGTGCCACACTGGCAGTGACCCACGGGGTCATTGTCGCTGGGCTTGGGGGGACATGGAGCACGTGGCTGCCGTGCCCATCCCACCAGGAACACGTGGCTGCCGTGCCTGTCCCACCAGGAACACGTGGCTGCCGTGCCTTCCATCCCAGGAGCACGGGGCTGCTGTGCCCATCCCACCAGGAGCACGTGGCTGCTGTGCCTATCCCACCAGGAACACGTGGCTGCCGTGCCTGTCCCACCAGGAGCACCTGGCTGCCGTGCTTGTCCCACCACGAGCACGTGGCTGCCGTGCCTGTCCCACCAGAAGCACGTGGCTGCCGTGCCTGTCCACCAGGAGCACCTGGCTGCCGTGCCTTCCATCCCAGGAGCACGTGGCTGCCGTGCCTGTCTCACCAGGAGCACGTGGATGCTGTGCCTGTCCCACCAGGAGCACCTGGCTGCTGTGCCTGTCCCACCAGGAGCACGTGGATGCTGTGCCCATCCCACCAGGAGCACATGGATGCTGTGGCCATCCCACCAGGAGCACGTGGCTGCCGTGCCTGTCTCACCAGGAGCACGTGGATGCTGTGCCTGTCCCACCAGGAGCACGGGGCTGCTGTGCCTTCCACCCCGGGAGCCCACTCACCCTCCCTCTCCTTCTCTGTGCCTCATTGTTCCTGTGCTTCTCTGAGACCTCTCAAGATGGGATGGGACAATGGGATGGGAAAATGGGATGGAATAATGGGATGAGACCAATGGATGACATGGGACAATGAGATGGGACAGTGGGATGGGAAAATGGAATGGGATAATGGGATGGGATGAATGAATGAAATGGGACAAAGAGATGGGACAGTGGGATGGGACAAATGCATAGGAGGGGACAATGGAATTGGGTGGGATGGGATGATGGGATGGGAAAATGGAATGGGATAACGGGACGGGAAAATGGGATGCAATAATGGGATGACAGCGGGATGGGAAAATGGGCAAAGGAATTGGGTGGGAAGGGATGATGGGATGGGAAAATGGAATAGGATAATGGGATGGGACAGCGGGATGGGAAAATGGGATGCAATAATGGGATGGGACAGCGGGATGGGAAAATGGAATGGGATAACGGGACGGGAAAATGGGATGCAATAATGGGATGGGACAAATGGATTAGATGGGACAAACAGACAGGATGGGACAGTGGGATGGGATGGGACAAATGGATGAGATGGGACAGTGGGATGGGACAAATAGATAGGAGGGGGCAATGGAATTGGGTGGGAAGGGATGATGGGATGGGAAAATGGAATAGGATAATGGGATGGGACAGCGGGATGGGAAAATGGGATGCAATAATGGGATGGGACAAATGGATTAGATGGGACAATCGGACGGGACAAACAGACGGGATGGGACAATGGGATGGGATGGGATGAGGCAAATGGATGAGATAGGACAGTGAGATTGAATGAGATAGGATGATGGCATGGGACAATGAGATTGGACAAACGGGATTGGACAAAGGGATGGGGTGGAACAGTGGAATGGAGAAAATGGATGGGATGGGACAATGAAATGGGACAATGAGATTGGATGAGATGGGACAATGGGGTGGGACAATGAGATGGGACAACAAGCACCTCAGGATATCTCATCCTTTTCCCTGCTCCCTTCCTAGGAATTCCCAGTGTCCTCGTTCCCTCTGGAGCAGCACCCCAGGCCCTGTGTGCAGTGTCCCTGTGCCCTGTAGAGGCACCTGTGGGTGCCCCTGCCACCTCTGCCACCTCCCACTGCCACAGGGCCTCATAGCCCTGGCACCAGAGTCCCCCTCCTTCAGTGCCAGGAGCTCCAGCAGCCCAGCGACCCCTGTGGCCCCATCCTGCAGCCCAGGGACCCCCATGGCCCCATTCTGCATTCCAGGGACCCCCCTGTGACCCATTCTGCATTCCAGGGACCCCTGTGACCTATCCTGCATTCCAGGGACCCCCGTGACCCCATCCTGCTTTCCACAGACCCCTGTGACTTCATCCTGCACCCCATCCTGCAGCCTGGGGACCCCTGTGCCACATTCTGCATTCCAGGGACCCCTGTGACTTCATCCTGCATTCCAGGGACCCCCATGACCCCATCCTGCTTTCCACAGACCCCTGTGACTTCATCCTGCACTCCAGGGACCCCCGTGACCCCATCTTTCAGCCCAGGGACCCCTGTGCCCCATTCTGCATTCCACGGACCCCTGTGACTTCATCCTGCATTCCAGGGATCCCCGTGGCCCCATCCTGCAGCCCAGGGATCCCCATGACCCATCCTGCACCTCAGGGACCCCTGTGACCCCATCCTGCAGCTCAGGGACCCCGTTCTGCAGCCTGGGGACCCCTGTGCTCCATCCTGCAGAGGAACTGAGGGACAGGTCAGATCTCCATGTCCCACAGCCCCATCCTGCATTTCAGAGACCCCCATGGCCCCATGCTGCATTCCAGGGACCCCCTGTGCCCCATCCTGCAGCCCAGGGACCCCCATGGTCCCATCCTGCATTCCAGGGACACCCATGGCCCCATCCTGCATTCCACAGACCCCTGTGACTTCATCCTGCACTCCAGGGACCCCCTGTGCCCCATCCTGCAGCCCAGGGACCCCCATGGTCCCATCCTGCATTCCAGGGACACCTGTGACCCCATTCTGAATTCCAGGCACCTTCATGTCCCCATCCTGCATTTCAGAGACCCCCGTGGCCCCATCCTGCAGCCCAGGGACCCCATCCTGCAGTCCAGGGACCCCTGTGGCCCCATCCTGCAGCAGAACTGAGGGACAGGTCAGGTCTGCATGTCCCACAGCCCCACAGGCTGCCCCTGCCTGGCAGGCTGGCCTCCCAGCTGTCCTGAACAGGAGCTGTCTCTCCCTCTGTGGCTCTCCTGGGGCCGGGTGCCCACAGCCCAGCCCTGGGGTCTCTGCCTGCCCCCCCTCAGGGCACTCTGGCTCCACATGTCCCTGTCCTCGGTCAGTGCAGTCCCAAGGCTCCCGGACACCCCCAGAGCCCCTCGGGGAAAACTCCGCTAGGCAAAAGAAATCTCAGCACAGCCAGAGGTGAGACAGCAGGAGTTTACCCGAGCCCACCCCGCTCCACACACGGGTTTGTCACCCTGGTGACACGCAGGGGGCTGTGAGGAGCAAAGTCCCACTGGTGCCGAGACCCTGCTCTGCCGGGGTCGCGGTCAGTGCTGCTCGAGCCGGGGGCCGGTGGTGATGGTGGTGGTGATGGTGATCCTGTTCACTGTCAGCCCTCCCGAGGGGTAGGTGTCGAGACACGCCTCCCGCTTGTACTCGGAGACCTGCTTGGAGGAGAGGAGCTCCCACACGGACACGCGGCGCTCCTGGGACGGGTCAAAGGTGATGTAGGAGCCCTCGGAGCGGAGGAGATCCATGGTGTGCGCAGGAAGGGCCCTGAAGTGCTGCTCCAGGCTGTCGCTGGCGAGGCTGCTGGCTGTGCTGAGCAGCTCCTGGATGGGGAGCGTCCCCCCACGGTACAGCTCCAGCAGCTCCTGCCTCTTCTCCTCAGGGATGTGGTGGGAGAAGAGCAGGTCCCACAGGGAGGTCTGCCCACCCTGGAACTCCCCCACTGACACCTCGGCTGTGGTGGCCTTCAGGGTCTCTTCCCAGGCTTCGTCTCCGTGCAGGGGTGTGGGTTCAGCCTCTGTGGCCACTGGCTCTGCCCTGGGGCCACTCACAGGTGTCGCCGGCTCTGCCCTCTCTGCTGCTGCTGCCCTGGTGACAATGGTGCTGACAACGGTCTGCACCTGCTCCAGGGTCAGCTCACCTGCCTCGTAGAGCTCCAGCAGCTCCTTCCTGTTCTCCTCAGGGATGTACCGGGAGTGCAGCAGGTCCCACAGCGAGACCTTGTGGCCCCGAAACTCCCCAGCCTCCACGTGGACCATGGTGGTTTTTAGGGTTGTTTTCCAGGGTTCCTCTTTGGGGGCATCATCAGAGTCATCACCCTCCTCTCCTGCTGCTGTCATGGGATCCTTGCTGGAACTCTTGACTGTAATGTGCAATTTCCTGCCTGCAGATTCTTTTTTCCTAATCAGAGTGCTGACAACAGTTGTCATCTGCTCCAGAGTTAATAGCCTTTCATGGTACAGCTCCAGCAGCTCCTGCCTCTTCTCCTCAGCGAAGTAATCAGAGAAGAGCAGGTCCCACAGGGACACCTGCTGTCCCTGCAGCTCCCCAGCTGGCATACTGATGGTGGTGGACCTCAGGGAGTCATCCAGGTGTGCTGAGCAATCCTCTCCATCCTCCGCAGCCACTGCCACTGCCCTGTGTGTGCCCCTGGAATTCACCACCCGCGCGGCGTTTGCGGCCTCCGTTCGGTTCACGATGGTGGTGACCACGGTGGCCACCTGCTCCGTGGTCAGTATCCCTGCCCTGTACAGCTCCAGCAGCTCCTGACGCTTCCCCTGAGGGACGTATTTGGAGAAGAGCAGGTCCAGCACAGAAACGTTTTGCCCCCGGAACTCCCCAGCAGCGACACGGACCGTTGCGGACTTTAGGGACTTCCTCAACTGCTGCTCCTGGGCCTGCGTGTCCCGAGCTGGGGGTGACGCCCTCGCCTTGTCGTTGGGGTTGGATGTGGAGGATCCCAGAGGCCCGTCGTCCCTTTCTGCCCGCGTGATGGTGGCCGTGAGGACATCAATCATCTGTGCAATGGTGACTGTCCCCGCCTTGTATTTCCTCAGCAGCTCCTCTTTCTGGTGCTCAGGGATGTAGCGGGAGAAGAGGAGCTCCCAGACGGTGACGCTCTGGCCCTGGAAGATGCCCACAGCCAGCGTGGTGCGGGCGGCCTGCAGGGCTTTGCGGGCATCCTCGTTCAGCTGGTAGAGCACGGAGCCCTTGTCCATCAGCTGCAGCATGAGCAGCCCAGTGTCCGGGTCGGGCACGCAGCGGCGCAGCAGCTGCAGGTACGTCAGGTTCTCGTGGGTGTTGGGGTCGAAGCAAGTCCTCGTTTGATTCTCGGGGTCGGAGAGGATCTGGCTCATCTCCTGGTCAAAGTAGCCACGCTCGTAGGCCACCTCCACGGGGACACGGTGGCCGCGCACGGGGTCGATGATGCCGCCGGTGGCGATCTGGGCCTGCAGCAGGCGGACGGCGTGTTCCCTGACGATCAGCTCCTGCCTCATGGCCTGGAACAGGGAGATCCTGTGTCCCGTGTAGGGCTCCGTGTAGCCCGTCACGGCTCCCTCCGCGGAGAGCAGCTTCTCGTAGAAGTCGCGGCCGATGAGTCCCTGAGCCAGCGCCTCCTTCACCGAGAGCCGCGCGGCGCTCGCGGGGTCCGTCAGCAGCCCCGAGGCCGCCTGCGCCTCCAGCAGCACCAGCGCCGTGCCCGGCGTCAGCAGCCCCCTCACCATGGCTTCGTAGATGCTCAGCTTCTTCCTCTTGGCCTGGATGAAGACTCCGGCGATGAAGCTGCCTCCGCCCCCGCCCATCTCTCTGTGCTCACCGGCAGCCGGGTTACTCCCTGGGCTGCTCGACTCGTTGTTCTGGGAGCATCCACTCATCTTCCTGATCGTCTCTGGGGGGGAATCCTGCTCCTGTGGGGCGCTGGGCGTGTCTGAGGGGGGAGGAACGGACAGAGCCCCTGGTGAGATGTGTGTGTTTTCAAACACACAAATCACACACACCACACACAAATCCCTGTGTGTTTTTCACAGTGGGGTCCCCACAGCTGAGAGGGGGGCTTGGGGAACGCGAGGGTCCCTCTGACTTTGCTGGGGATCCCCAAATTTCCTGTGTCCCCCTCCCCAGATTTGAACCCCTGACCATGCTGGGAGCCAGCAGGGTTTATTTGGGGGGTCCCCATGGGTGGAGAGGGGCTTGGGGGGAGATTTTGGAGTCCCCAGGAGGACCTGAGGGGGGATGTGGTGTCCCTCTGGCTTTTCTGGGACCCCCACATTCACGTCACCCCAAATTTCCTCCCCAAACTGGAACACAAGAGCACAGCCAGGAGCAGCTGGGGGGCTCGGGTGTGGGGGAAGCCTCTCCCTGGAGGTGATCACAGGAGCCCAGGGAGAAGCAAGGAGGGGCACCTGGGCCTTTGCTGCTCCCTCGGAGCAGTCCTGGGGCCAGGGTGCAGCTGGGGTGGGCAGAGAGCTTTGAGGGTGTGGCACAGGTTGGTGACAGACACACGGGACACAAGGAATCATCATCCCAGCAGCACGGACACCCTGCAGTCCCCCGAGGACCCCCTGCTCTCTCAGAGCCTCAAACCCATGGCCTCAGCCACTTTTCTGGGTGACACACCACTTGCTTTTTGGGCTGGTGCCAGCACGAGACAGAAGCACTGCTCCTGATGCCTTTGAGTTTTAACTTTCATATTTTCCAGACTCTCAACTGCATTAGTAACTCTGAAGTTCACATAAAGTGTTAGCAAGCTCGCCTCACAGCTCAGTCAGACAGAACAGTCCTTTTCCAGTCCCAGAACCGAGGTCACCGTCACAGCTTCAGGCCCAAAAAGTGCAAACAAAAGTGAATTGAGGAGAGCAATCTGGGAGGATGTCGCTTCATAACCTGTAATTGGAGCTGTAATTGGACAATTAGCCCCAATGCGCAAATGAACCAAAATGTATAAAAGCGTGAAAAGTCATGACCCATCATCCATGTGGGGTGTAGCCACGGCTGGGTTCTTGTACTGCCCAAGGTGTGTCCTTTGAAGGCCTTTTAATAAATACCTGCTTTATCCTTTGACTCTGTCCCGGGCACAGCTCCCTCCCTGCTCCCTGGAGCTGCCCTGGCACAGCCAGGCTCCACTGGTGGTCTCTTCCCAAGCTCAGGTCATGCCAAGGGGCAGCAGTGACTTCCTGACCTGATGCCACGGCCCCACAGAGGAGCTGGCTGGTGCTGCCAGGAATGTTCTGTCCTCTGAAACCGTGACCTGGCCGTGGGCGTGGTGGGGCACAGGGGGCCAGGCACAGCCTGCGTGGATGCTCCTGGGGGCTGTGTGATCCCACACCACCCTGGCACTCCGCAGGGCACGGGGAATGTCTCAGGGACGGACGAGTGGCTGTTCAGATCCAGGGGCAGCAGCAGGAGCTGAGGGAGAGCTTTCCTCTGGCTCTGGATTCTCTGGGTGGTCTCTGCTTGCTCTAAGGCCACTGGGTGGGCAGAGACCCCAAACCCCATCCTGTCAGCCTCCTGTCCTACAAAACCGGGCTCTGTGTTATTCAATGTGGCAATCACAGATGCATCATGGAATCCCAGAATAGTCTGGGTGGGAAGAGACCTTAAAACCCATCTGGTTCCAACCCCTGCCACAGGCGGGGATGCCACCCACTCCCAGGATGTCTCACGCTGTCACCTGGTCCCCTCGGGAAGCCCTGTAAACAAACTTTCAGCATCTCCAGCATGGTGCAGCAGCGATGAGGCCACAGCCTTGTAAAAGCAGCAGAATCGAAACCCAAAGGATCTCCTGGGGAACACCCACCTCCCGTAAACTCTGCTGACTGACACTAATGACACGTTTGACTCGTTATCAGGGTCAGAGCTTAAGTCTCCCTCTGTTTACTTAACAGTCAGGAAGTCTCTGAGTCACCGCTTTTGATCCATTTAAGTATTGGATTGATGCTGGGGCGGACGCATCACGATGGGGCTGGGATTCATCCCAGCGGCCCCAGCCCAGCCCCTGCTCTCCGGGAACCCTGCCCGTGGCTCTGTCCCGCTCCTCTCCATCCCTGCCCCAGTCCCAGTGAGGTGACGGGCTGGTTGTGCCGCCTGCTGGGGTGGCACTGCCTCCCGGAGCGCGGTGTCACACCCTGGAGCCGGCGACACTTTGTGGGACACGGCTGTGGTGTGAACACCCGGCACCGCCAAGCCGTTTCCTAACCGCAGCCTGTCATTAGCAGCTCTCTAATTAATCAGCCTGCAGCTCCCGGGGCAGGGGTCGGTTGCCTCTGCCGGGGGCTCCGCTGGAAGCGGATTTGCAGCTGGAGCGAGCCGGGGTGGCCCCAGAGCGCGGGGGGAAACAGCCGGGCTCGGGCCCGGGGAGGGGGAAATTACACCAGTGCCCCCAACCCTGCCCAGTCCCGGGGGGGAAATCACACCAGTGCCCCCAGCCCAGGGGGAGAAATCACACCAGTGCCCCCAGTCCAGCATCGGGATCCGGGATCCCAGCGATTCCCACTGCCCCAGCCCTGAATTCCAGCGATTCCCACTGCCCCAGCCCTGGATCCCAGCGATTCCCACTGCCCCAGCCCTGGATCCCAGCGATTCCCACTGCTCCAGCCCCTGGATCCCGGGATTTCCCACTGCCCCAGCCCTGGATCCCAGCGATTCCCACTGCCCCAGCCCTGGATCCCAGCGATTCCCACTGCTCCAGCCCCTGGATCCCAGCGATTCCCACTGCCCCAGCCCTGGATCCCAGCGATTCCCACTGCCCCAGCCCCGGATCCCAGTGATTCCCAGTGCCCCAGCCCTGGATCCCAGCGATTCCCACTGCCCCAGCCCCGGATCCCAGCGATTCCCACTGTCCCAGCCCCGAATCCCAGCGATTCCCACTGTTCCAGCCCCGGATCCCAGCAATTCCCACTGCTCCAGCCCCCCGATCCAGCGATCCCCACCGCTCCAGCCCTGGATCCAGCGGTCCCCACCGCTCCAGCCGCAGCCCCGGGTGCCGGCGGGCTCCGGCGGCTCCCGCAGCTCCGGCTGTTTCCCTCCCGCATCCCAGCTCGGCTGAAGCACGCCGAGCAGCAGCTCCAGTCAGCCCTGGCGCTGTCCCTTTGTCCCTTCCCAAAAGAGGACCCGGTTCTGCCGGGAGCTCTCCTGCTCACCGGCCCCGGCAGGTTCAGCAGCCGCCCCCTGCCAGCGCTGGGGTTTGGGATGGTTTGAGGTCCCCGCTCCCCGTGCAGGTGGCCTCGGTGACCCCCAGGAGGGCTCTGTCCTACCTCCTGGCCGTGTGTCCAGAGCGGCTGGATCGCCGGCAGGCTCCGATCCTCCTCCTCCTCCTCCCCCCGCCGGCTCCCAGCCAGGTGAGCAGAGGCGGCAGGTGCCCAATTTAAATCCTGCCCTCCCCCGCCCCTGGGGACGGCAGGGAGGCCCTGCCCTGCGCTGGCACACGGGAGCAGACCTGGAACACGGGCCTGGATCGGCCACGGAGCCCCCCCAAGCCCTGGACCCCCGGGCTGGCAGGGGCCAAGCACCGGGAACAGTGCCAGGGCAGGACCCCTGGACTGGCAGGGGCCGGGCACACGGAGTCCCCTGAGCCCAGGACCCCCGGGATGGCAGTGGCTGGGCACACGGAGCCTCCCAATCCCTGGGCTGGCAGGGGCTGGGCACACGGAGTCCCCTGAGCCCAGGACCCCCGGGATGGCAGGGGCTGGGCACACGGAGCCCCCCCATCCCCAGACCCCCGGGCTGGCAGGGGCTGGGCACACGGAGCCCCCCGAGCCCAGGACCCCCGGGATGGCAGGGGCTGGGCCCACGGAGCCCCCCCATCCCCAGACCCCCGGGCTGGCAGGGGCTGGGCACACGGAGCCCCCCGAGCCCAGGACCCCCGGGATGGCAGGGGCTGGGCACACAGAGCCCCCCCAGCCCTGGGATGGCAGGGGCCGGGCACACGGAGTCCCCTGAGCCCAGGACCCCCGGGATGGCAGCGGCCGGGCACCGGGAGCAGTGCCAGGCAGGACGTGGCACACGCCGCTCTCCAAGGGGCTCCAGGACTCGCCACCAGCTTTTTCTGAGAGCGCGGCTGCTCGTGGGCAGCCCTGCCCGCGGGGGTCCCCACGGAGCTGGGCTTGGTGGGTTTGTCACTGGGAGCCACCACCCTCAGCTGTCCCTGCACCCGGCTGGGATGACACCAAACCTGGTGACAGCAGGGACAGTGGTGGCCATGGCTGGGGTGACAGAGGAGGGACAGTGCTGGCTGTGCCTGGGGTGACAGCAGGGACAGTGCTGGCCTGGGGTGACAGCAGGGACAGTGGTGGCCATGGCTGGGGTGACAGAGGAGGGACAGTGCTGGCCGTGGGTGTGCATGGGGACGTTTGTCACACTGTCTGTGCTCCTGTCACCCTGCACAGGTGTCTGTGCCTCAGTGTGTGTGACTGTGTGACCATGTGTGTCACTGTGTGTGACCCTGTATGTCACTGTGTGTCACTGTGTGACTGTGTGTGACCGTGTGTCCCTGTGCGTCCCCATGTGTCCTGTGTGTCACCGTGTGCAACCCTTTGTGTGCCCGTGTCCCTCGTGGCCATGGGTGGCTGGGTGCCTGCCCCGGAGGCACGAGGGGCTGCCTGCCCCGTCCCTGCCTTTTTCCTGCTCCGGGAGTCTCGGCTTTCCTGCGGTCAGGAATACCCCGAGAGTCCTTTTTTCCCAGCCCGGTGTCTGAAGGAGTCGGAACTCCTCGGCTCTGGTGTTCAGGGTTGTCTATTGTCTCTTCTCTGTAACATTCTTTTCCTGGCCCGCAGAGCTCTGTCTGGCAGGTCTGTCCGAGGCACACTGCCCTGCCCTGAGGCGGTGCTATCTCTTTACGCTAAAAACTACGTGTGCTTTATTTACCATTATTTTCCACTACCTATCACCTGTGTTAGACTGTCTATTTCTACCCTAAACCAACCCAAAAGTGCCACCATCACACAGAAGATGGAGGCTAGAGAGAAGAAGGAAGGACAAGACAATGCCCAAATCCCTCCGTCTTTCCTCCTAGACCCCTACACTAAAAATCCCCAAAATTCCACTTTTCACCCTGTGACAAATTCATTATCATTCTACTTAAGCTTTAGTGACTTGTAACTCTTCATACAAGGTTGGCAATTTGCTCCACGGGTTAAAATCGAAAACTCAAGGGTCTTTGTCTTCCTGCCAAGGTCTCTGAGCCCCCTGCCAGGGGCTGGGGCCGTGCAGGGCACGCAGG